TAGCAGCATAACTATAGAGATAGCTCAGGATAACATGTCGTTTATGCACCACTGTGTTCCAGATGGAGTTTTGTGCAGCTCTGATTGGGCTGGTTAGACATTCAGAGGGGAAGCTGAATAAAATCCAACTTGAAGACATAAACGTTATATGAAAAAGTACTGGGTGCGAGTGTAGATTAGTTGCTTCTTAAAGATGCACGCTTCTTAAAGCAATTAGTAAGTAATTAAGTTTGTGTGACATTCTAGAGACGTGCACCCTTAAACACGGTGGAGGTAGTATGATGCTTCGGTCAATTCACAGCCTTAATCTATGATTAAAATCCAAAATGTTGTAAGCAGACGATTGTACGGAACTATATCTGATATCAAATCTCTCCTCAGGTCGTTCATCTCAGCCTTCCTGTTCTCCATTGAGGTTCAGGTGACCATCGGCTTCGGAGGACGCATGATAACGGAGCACTGTCCGGCCGCCATTACTGTCCTCATCTTGCAGAACATAGTGGGACTCATCATTAACGCCGTCATGCTGGGTACAAACCAGAACCTTGTGCCTCATTTCTGAGCTGTTATCCACTAAAAGTAGAAAGATAATTATTTAAAGCGACCTCTGATGGACTGACTTCCTCTGTGCTCAGGTTGTATCTTTATGAAGACGGCTCAGTCCAACCGCCGAGCGGAGACCTTAATCTTCAGCCGCCACGCCGTTATTGCTGTGAGGAACAACCGTCTGTGCTTCATGATTCGCATCGGCGATCTGAGGAAGAGCATGATCATAGGAGCGACTGTCAGATTACAGGTGTTTTGTTGTTTTTACCTCAGAGGCTTCACCTGCCGGCGGCCATGAAAGCCCCTCACGGTGTCTGGTTGTCAGAAAAGATGAAATGACCTCATCAATGGCATTTCCTAATGTTAGCACTGACTTAAAGAACCATTAAATAGGAATTATTTGTAATTTAATACATTTTCATCTTGAGTTGCATATTTGTTTGGATAGGAAACATGTGGCTAAAGCTAGATCTAGTGCTACAGGGCTTCCATGGGTCATTAAAAACCATTAAAAGTCATTAAATTATTATCTTTTAAATGAAGGGCTTTAAATGCCATTAAAATTTATTAAATGTGACTATATGCGGCATTTAAAATGCTCTACTTAAAAAAAAAGAACAATTTTTTTTTGTCTGATATATTATATTGATATATTTGCACAGAACTGCTTACAGTTGATCGTAAAGCCGTATGTTCGGAAAAGAAGCTAGAGGCGGAGAAAAAGCTAGACAATGGGAAAATGCAAATTTCAATGTCGATGGTAAAGATTATGAATTATTTTGCATATATATATAGATATATATATATATCTATATATATATGTGTGTGTGTGTGTTTGTGTCTATAAATGTGTGTGTCTATATATATGTGTGTGTGTATGTATGTACCTGTCTAGCCCTCAAAGTGAGGACCATTTTTCCAATTGCACCATTAAATTGAGGGCCAGTTGTTGTAAAGTGAGGAGATTTTGCTGGTCGTCACATGCTATTTTGCTAATGGTAAGGTTTAGGGCTAAGGTTTCAATTGGTTAGGGTTAGGGTGAGGTATATAATGGTAATGGTTGGGTTTAGCATTAGGTTTAGGGTTTGGGCATAGAAAACGTTGAAAATGACTGAAAATCAATGGGAGTCAATGAGAGTCAACACATGGTCCTCACTACGATGGCAGAACGAGTATTGGTGTGTGTGTGTATGCATGTATATATGTATATATATATATATACCGTAAATTCTCTAATATTGGCCTGTATTCCAATAGCGGCCGGGTCTCTAATAATGGCCGGTCTCGCTGTCAGAGGAGGTAAATAATGGCCGGTCTCTAATACAGGCCGGGGCTATAA